ATGTTTATTGAAATATGTATACTTATTGCCCCTAGCACTCAGCAATATTCAAGCTATATTACGGCGGTCTGTAAATAATCTCGACCAGATAATCCAGTGATTGACATCATGAGGATTGATCCAAGCAATTGGGATCGATGACATGCATCAACCAAGTCAGCGAGTCTGACCACCCGATCCCGTTAGTCGCCTTTTTACGGCAAGCATGGGTTGCTGAAGACCTATTCTACCACGGATCTTCACGGATCGAAGATTTAATGACAATTAGGGAATTATAACAATTGGGGTTTGAAAGACATATTGATGTCGGTTTCAATGTCGAATTGGGATGATCGCGAAATAGGAGATAGGCCAGTTGGTACCGAACAGCCTGGGGTTCCTCACGTTCGGAAAGAATTCTTTATGGCGGTGTCAAGCACGTCTGACTTCACATACTTGGATCAAATTGGTTGTGCTTGCTTAATCACTACCATAACATATCATTTTATTAGGATGTGTCGTCTCGCAAGGAGAAAAATGCCTTTGGTGGAGTCGTAACTACGCAATAACTTGTGGATTTTAGACGTCAGATAGATGTTATAATGGTGATAGGCCATGTCGTGTAACATGGCGAGTCATTCTGATATACAATAGAGTCAACTGCCATCTAACGTGTATTTTATCATGTCAACAGGGGGCAGGTCAGTGGCCAGATGTGTTACAGTGAGTCTACTTTCGGGTGTATGCCGTGGACATTCCTGGACAGACACGGCTGTTGTGTTTAATTCTTGTCGTTAGGACGGAACAATTTGGATGTGGGTTTTTCATTTGTATGATTTTACCTTTTATGCCCGGAGGAATCTGTTTCAGCAGATTATCGCATCCTCCCAAGGCAAGGGAGATAACTGACTGTAAAAGTTCAGTTTCCACGTGGAAACTGGACCTTTTCAGTCAGTTAACTCCCTTGCCTGATTATTCTCTTCAAAAATAGCAAGGGGATATTCGGAAATAGCTTTTAATGTTCAACATCGAAAGATATATTAGTTGCTGGTAAAAGTGTATGATTATAATGACGAATTTGGAACAAATTACACCCGTTAGTGAAATATGACAGTAGATGTTATGACAGCCACTGATCTTGAAGGACGACTTGGGCAAGATGGGAAATTTCAAAGTTGACGTTTTTGGAGCAATAGTGCGTAATACCGCCACGATTTGTTCAACATTCGTTTACTCGACGAGGCCTAATGTGTATGAGTCCCCCAAAGGTGATTTGAGGGTGTCTGTCCCGCTCCCTGGCCAAGTTCAGCCAATATTGTCGGCGTCCTATGACGTTGACGCACACGCCTCCCTATCATGTCCAAGACGTTTTCAATGGGAGAAAGGTCAAGGCTCATTGCTGGCCATGGCATTCTATGATGTCTTGAAAGACAAAACGTCGACCCCCACGCCTTGCGAACGGGACAACAAAGGGTGTCAGTATATGGTCCCGATAGTACTGTCCGGTTACCCTTCCTTTCACAATATGGGGTGGGGTTCGATCTGTCATACAGATGCCACCCCACATCATAACCACCACCGCCAAATCTGTCATGAGGTCTCATTGGCTTGGCGTTAATTTCGACGTCACCAGACACGATTCCGCCTATCGAGGGGAAGCGCAAAGTCAACCGGGACACATCTGAAAACATACGTGACCAGTGACGATTACCCCAGTGTCGACGTTGTTGACGTCTGTTGACAATAAGACGAGTTGTAAGGGGCATTGGGATGACCTTGCTTGTAGACGATTCCTAATCATCAGACCCGTAACTCGTACTCCAGTAGCCTGATGAAAGTTTGCAGCAATTTGATTCGCATTTGAGCTCGATTTCGTATAGAGCCTAGTTTCGGATCAATCGACCCTGCACTTTTGTCGTTGACCTGGGACGCCCTGAACGGAATCGATGTCAGCATTTAGGTTTTGTTGGCACCTGTCCCATTATCTGCTAATAGCAGACTGTGAAACATTTGCCCTATTGGCAACTGAACGCTGATTTCTGCCTTGGAAAACTTAAAAATGTTCACTTGATCTTCATAAGAAAGTCACTTCGAGGAACACCCGTGAGGATCCGGTTTAGAATGCGTCTTCAGCAGCCCATGATTGCCGCAAAAGGCGACTGTACCGCACTCAGCAATATTCCAGCTATAAGACGGCGGTCTGTAAATAATCGGGTCTTGACCAGACAATTCAGTGATTGATGTCATAAGCATCGATCTACGTAACTGGGATACGATGACATGCATCAACCAAGTCAGCGAGCCTGACCACCCGATCCCGTTAGTCGCCTCTTACGACAAGCATAGTCACCTCTTAAGGCAAGCATGGCTTTCTGAAGACCTATTCGCACCCGGATCTTCACGGGTCATACATATTTATGGGGTTAACGGATAGTGTTGTGTGATTTACTGTTACAGTCATATCTATAATACAGACACATATTGGTGTTCATGCTTAAGCTCAGAAGGTCGGGTAATGCATAGTCGCCTTTTACGGCAAGCATGGGTTGCTGAAGACCTATTCTACCCCGGGTACTAGCCTTGAGGGAATAAGTTCTGTTCTGCCAGTTTCCAACATGCCAATAAGCCGTAGACGCTCCGTGCGATGCAGACGCCGCATCGCTAGTTCATACACAAACAATGAATGAAAGTAAACATCAACTGTATGATAAACAGAATCAATAACATTGACAGAAATGATAGTCTCCAGAGATGAATGGATCTTCCTTGAAAGTGTCAAAATCAGGAATGACACCCAACGCACGTGTGAGGCGAAGCTGCATGCGTCTCGTGCAAACTGTCGGCTGTGTTATGGTGTTAAGTTTTACTCACAAAACCGTTCTTGCATATAATATTTGTCGTTAACACTTATGTTTGTTTTAATGCTTGGTATTAACATTTTTATTTCATGATCCCCTACTTTTTGGAACAGTATATTTTCACTGTGTGAAACCACACAGTGAAAATATACTGTTCCAAAAAAATGATGTGTGGTCGACGCTTGTGCTGTAATCACCCGTATGTAGGATTCCCCTTCGATTAGCTGCAGGGGCGGTGGGGTAGCCTTGTGGTTAAAGCGTTCTTTCATCACGGGGTTCTATTCTCCACATGGGTACAATGCGTGAAGCCCACCTCTGATGCCCCCCCCCCCCCCCCCCCCCCATGATTTTGCTGGAATATGGCTGAAAGTGGATTAAAAACCATATCCGTTCGCTCCTTCACTCACCAGCTGCACTGGCGGCGTCGGCATGTTGTGATTCTGGGTTGGAATAGATCCGCCGTAACCGATGCTGTAACCGTAAGAGGCGCATGGAATAGATCGGGTAATGAGTGAGTGAGTGAGTGAGTTGGGTTAAACGCCGCTTTTAACAGTGTTCCAGTAATATCAAGGCGTGTCAGATTAATGTGGGAGGAAAGCCTGAAGTGATGCAGGTCTCAGACGTTTACCACTTCGGTGAAACCCACGAGCACGGGTATGGTGCTGACAAACCTAGAAACATAATCGGGGCGAACCGTGATTCGAACCCACAACCATAGGTCTCTTGCGTGCCCAAGGGCGCCAACTCTGCACATCGAATCGCGCCGCCTTAGACGACTGGGCCACCCGTGCCCCCGGGATCGGGTAATGAAGCTAGGCGATTTGTTTGATTGCGGTTCATCGTACCCCGAAGGCGTGGATCGTTACTCTAATATTATTAACTGTTGTTGCAATATCCCAGCTATATGACGGTGGTCTGTAAATAATCGAGTCTGGACCAGACAATCCAGTGATTGATATCATGAGCATCGAACACATGAATTGGATACGATCATTCTCTGGATTGTCTGGTCCAGAGTCGATTATTTACAGACCGCCTTCATATCACCAGAATATTGCTGAATGTAGCGTTAAACAACAAACAAACAGACAAAACTACACCCTGACTGTAATTATGAAGACTGGTGTAAAACAACACTCACTTACCTCTCTCTGTGTGTCTGCGTGATCTCGATGATGTTGTTTGAGCAGTCGGGAGTCGAGAGGGGTAACAATCAAGACACGGTTTCACCAAAGACGTATACGTCTTTCGTTTTCACAAAATGACAAAATCATAACGAACTGACTCTATGACAAACCGAGCCTCTTTTCTGTCCTCTAACCTGGATCATCTTCCTGAAACAAGGGAGTTAACTGGCTATATAAGTCCAGTTTTCACCCTTGCCGAACTAGGCTGGTATTATGGAGTTACAGTTTGGCTGGACTAACGAGTCTGTGCATAATCCAATCGAAATCAATTGACGAAATCGACTTCCGGTTCGTTAACAGTGCAGTTTTCGGACGATTGAAGAATTTGCAGAGGATGTGTTCCGTCAACTTGGAGTCGACAGATATTTGTCCACGTTTTCTTATTTTTTACCAAGGTGCTCAACTGGTTAGATGCCTTTTACGAGGTAAGACCCATTTCATTACAATAAAAATCATGATTATCATTGAGATCGTTTTGACTGGGCACCGCAATTTTGTTTGAAGCAAATGCATGTGATATGAGAGGTTGAATTTGATCGGTCAGTAGGAGGGACATAGAAGGGACGTAACTCGTAATAGTCACTGGTGGCGCTACGATCGAGTCAGTTAACTCCCTTGCCTAGGATTGACCTAAGTGTCATGGACTTTCCCTTTAATGCAGTATTGAAGCAAGGCTACGAGCTGCTCTAATGTGGGAGGAAAGCCCGAAGTGATGCAGGTCTCAGATTAGTCCGTCTCACAGTCCCTGAAAGATATTATTTTCCCTTCTGCCCAGCCCTTACTGTGATGCTATAGGCCAAAATGAAGTAAGTCTAGATTTCTACAGGTTCTGAATCTCCTATCTCACATCTACCGATGGCGTTGGCGTGCCCTAGCAGCGTGAAGCATTCCTCATGCTATCAATCATTGGTTTGCCTTTTCGAAACTCTATGCTGAAACACTATTAACTGTGACAAAAAACAACACAACACCGGAATAAAAAGCTCTCCCACAGACTTTTATTAACAAACGTGTTGATTGCCCTCATGACGAGACAGACAATAATGACAGACAGATCAACTGGTTGAGTGAAGACAGCACTGAAACCCGGAAGCACAACTTTGTAGTACCGATAGGCGCCGGATGTAGCATAACTGGGAGTAAACACGCTAGTAACACTACAGGGATAATCTCACGAATCCTCTCGACGAATTTCAACCGGTACTTTCACATAAACATGTCAAGGACTATAACACACAATGAGAGACAGACACGTGCCGTTACATCAAGCTTATCTGGGTGTAACGAGGACAGGAAGAGGATGTGTTTTCCTCTCTTCTCCGGATATGTCAGTGGATATGTCAGTATAGGCATATGAAGTTCTGAATACAATAAGGAAATAAAGACTCATCACTATCTATCAAACTACCCTCTCTATATATAAATACATTTGGTGTGCGGTGACGTCACAAATCAAAAATTCATCCTGAGATCGTGATATCACTGCGTAAATATCACTCCATAAATATATGGAGAGAGAGAGAGAGAGAGAGAGAGAGAGAGAGAGAGATGAATGCAGAGTCGCCATCACTATCAAAGTTCAGACTCTGAGAAATGTCTTTAAAATGGAAAAGCCATACAATCTTAATATATTATTTTAATCAGAACTTCAGATTCCTCTGACGTAAGTAGCAGATATATTTTTTGGAATGCATTATCACAGTAAAAACGACATATATTGTTTTACATTTCAACAAAACATAATACAGTGAAACCTTTTTGATACGGACAATACCGATACCGGTGAATTCAACCAGATCTACAAATAAACTTCAGGGGTAAATGTGTGCATAGGGGCGTTCCAAACACGATAACCAGAGATTCGTGGTTTCCAGATTAACGGTGTCCGGATTAACGAGGTTACACTGTTTATAATATCAATGAGGTACACAAGGAATCGCAATCTGCGTTTGTTTCAAAACCTAAAACCTCTGTCGGAGAAAACAGCTGCAGAAACGTGTGACCTTATATCATTTTGAAAATACATATAACCCTATAACTCTCGCCGATGTAAGTCTATTATGACAACAGGTATCGGTTAAAAAAGGTCTCTACAAACGATTTACTCCTTTCAATTGAAACTAAAAGAATATGAGGGACTGCACCGCTAAACCCCAGAAGTTGTTGTTTTAGTAAGGCTTTCTTTTTGCAATTTATAGTTTACATATTTTAACAAAACCATACTGTCGGGGATATATAATAAATACAAATCAAATTTGAAACGCGTTGTTAAGCGACCATTTAAAGTTATGTCGATTGAGTGAAAAAAAATGAAAAAAGGGTGAAATCTAAAAAAATGCTCGTTAAAAAGGTTTACCCCAAAGTTTTTATTCACGTTACGGAGGCAAGTTAACAGATTCGGAAAAATATTCCACATTTCAACGCGATGAATCACCGTTCTCTATATCAAACTGCTGAAATATCTCTTTTTATCTGAGCTTTGGCGCAGTTTCACAATGGCGTTAGCTACATATAAAACTGCATATAGTATAAAGTCCCTGATGAGGCCACCATGGCATGCTCCGAATCAGACATGGTCGTATTATCCAGTCTCTTGCAGAGTGACCCATCTGTAGTTTTTTGTTCGGTTTATTTACGTTAACTTAAATCTCTTTCGAAATTGAACTCGTGAAAAACAACCCGAGCTAGATCCTCATGTCCTAGCGCTGTCGTGGTTTTCCGTGAGGTGTGCGAGAAGGCACGATTCATTCGTCACCACTCGCCCCTTTCCGCAACCTGGAAGAAGATCGCTATCCGGCTTGTCCCGGAATAACACGAGTTGGTCACGAATGGGCACGATTGTGCCGCGGGAGCGTGATGCGCCCATAAAATACAACACAAATGCCTCTTTCGACAGGTTCAAACGTACGATGTAAATAAAACTCAATGTTCCATCGCATACCACCGATAATGCACAGCCTCAGCCTTGAACCCATTATTCACGTAAGGTATGACTCTATATTGTCGCGGTATCGGTAAATCTTGTAATCTACATCAACTGTCGACTGTTTACTTTATATGCAAAATTAGCACAATATTTCATCGCATGATCGAATACAGGACTCGCTGCGTTATGTCACGGATGGCTACTCGTAAGTATACACGTTAACTTTTTTATGTTAGTTTCGGGAACGTTTTCGAAGTGGAATTACCCCTACATCCATTCAAAATTGGTTAGAAAAGAATCCACTTGTTTGAACGTTGTGTTTTGACCTAGGTCGTATGAATACTGATTATGCATAATCAAAAACAGGAAGTGATGTAAACCACATAATCCACACGTATCACACACAAAATAGTGACACCGCGATAATATAGAGTTGCCCGCCCTTGAGTCGCCAAAGACAGGTGCTTTGTTTCCCGAACTCGCAATCTCATTAAAATCAGACCTTAGTTCTCGCTACCGCTAAACAAAGCTTAGCGGTAGCGAGAACTAAGGTCTGATTTTAATGAGATTGCCCGAACTCGGAAAGAAAATCAGCATCGATCAATCCTAATCGATGTGACATAAAAGTTGAATAAAGAACAAGAAACATTTTGCGTTTGACATAGTTAATGTGTCGGTAAACATTCGCCATTACCATCCATTATAAATTAACTACCGCGATAATATAGCGTACCTTGCTAAATAACCAGCCAAATGCGTGCATTAAGGAATATCACCTGACAAATAAAAATTACAGCTTACAGATTTTTTTCAAGTATGGCTGTCTTTTAAAGCAGTAAAATTCGAGACATTTTGTGATTGAAAAGCTGACAAAATTATACACCTGTCTGCGCAAAGGCGTCGTAAATTTTGCAGCCGTTTCCTGTTACAAGCTCAGGACATCGTTCCAATGACAGCTAATGTAAGGCATCGCTACAGGTGTCTGCACCGAGCTAATTCTGTGAAGCTAGACGTCAGGAATTTGATTGGCTGGATATAGTACTACTGCTATTACAACCATGTTCAAAATAAATCAATAAATACGTATTCACTGCCTCTAATGACGAGGGACGTTTTTTTCCTAAAACAAACACCATTTAATGTGACTTGCAAACAGATATTTTTCGACCATTTAATTTCTTATCAGCAAAGAGAGAACATATAAAAAGAACGAAATTCGTGAGTTGTAACGAACGTTGAACGTACAACCACGATATCAGTATCACACTTGTACCTCATTAATATGGACAGTTCGGTTTCATTGACAAATCTGGATAAACGGGGTTCCTGAACAACGAAACAAACATATAACCAACTGGAGAAAATATTTTGGAATGCAGTAACTTGACACCCGTTCATTATAATAATGATAAAAATAAACCTATACAAGAGACAAAAGTGGATTGTTTTATACGGGCATAGCATTAATACGTGAAAAGGCTTTTTGCGTGACACCTCCAAACATTGTCTTTAAAAAAAGGACTATAATATATACCGTTATTCGCTTACAGTCCTTTTTATAATAATCATATGATATCATGATCATAATATTTTTTTTCAAGATTCAAACAGTTGATAATAACAATTGTGGGAAGCTCAATTATTTATTAATATGTTTAATTAAGATAAGTTAGTAGTAAGCTTAAGGTTGTATGAACTTGTTGCCATTAAATAATTTAAGTACATTTGATACTTACATTATACAAAATGAATATATTATTGGTTAAGATATTGGTTATATTTTATAATTTAGTCTTTTACACCTTAAACATTCATTCCATTGTGCTGTAACATAAGGTAAAGCTTTCTGTCAGTTTAACCTCCACTAATGGTCACGCTGCATGCATTTGACTTTTAGTATTCTTTGCCCCGTGTCTGTGCCGATTCTAGGCCGATTGTAACCCAGTGATCAAAACTCAATGAAGATGTTTGTCGTTAGCAAAATGGATATTTCTTGAAACACGCACTTTGCAATTGTTGTCATTATTTTAAGTAATATTCATTATCGGCGGAATGGCTTTTTTTTTACCGTATAAGTATTAGCACACATGCAGCTTTCTTCATTAATTAATCATCGCGACATTTCATGATTCTGTTGTTAGTAGTGAGAACACTCTCACAGGTAAGATGGAGACAGGAGTATTATCTTCAGGATCAGTCGATGGAATGTCAAACGGAATGTAATTCACATTAAAAAAATAACAGATATGAGATATCATTTGCATTACATAATAACATGACTTCAGTGGTGGGAACATGTACGTCCTATAACGTGTATAAATGCACAGGGACCGACCATTTAATATCAAGGGGTAGGAGGGGGACGAGGAGGGACAGAGAGTTTTTTGAGACAGAATATATTCTGAGACACTTCTTGAATCCATATTTTTTTAAGACGACGGACAAAAAAAACCAGCAAAAAACTTATGCCGGACGTCCATCTTGTCCAACGAACTTGTTTTTTTTAGTAAAATCTTTGTCGATATGCTGTTTTTCAAAATAACTTATGTTTGAAAAATAAAAAATAAAAAGGAACGCATGTATATCAAATGGTTGGCCTTTAAGTACTGGGAAGATAAAAATTACATTTATTTAAATAAATAAATTTATTCATACTGCAAAAAGACATTTTTGGCCCTGTCAGGTTTCTGTATTATGGTCTGTTACCACTTAAACTTGCTTTTATCAGGGTCACATGTGCGTCAGGACCAGACATATATTGGTCAAAACTTGTTAATTCAATCGGTCAATACAATTCACTTTCAATATCTCTTTCAAAACCAATGAATGAAATTTCTACAGGCTTCCATAACATGACTCGACCTACTACCAGTGATACTGTTATAAAAATCGCGAGTTGGTCCCTACATGTATCCGTAACATCACGCTTCTCTTTATCAGCTCTCTTTTCCACTATCATCGCATGAATCAAACACCATGTTGGTCAATACATTTAACAAAACAAAAATATTTAGCCTCGCCGTTTGGCAGCTCATAGTGAGAACATAAACACCCAGAGCCCCAAGAGCCAAACTGAATTTCTTTAGCTTTGCAACTTGTAATATAAAAATAGAACTAAAACTCATAATGGTCCCTACAGGCTACCGTAAATTGACCCTTGAAACGCTAACAAGATTCGTCGTTTGCAAGATCATTATCAGAACATAACAGCCTGTACGTGATCTCACGTTAATTCATTTAGCCTTGGAATTTGGAAGATGATGACCTGTACAAAAAAGCCCTTTATGGCCCTTACATGCTTCCGATGCAGGACACAACGCGCAACCATTAAGCACACGAGTAGGTCATTTTCAGAACCGTAAGCTTTTGGAACATACACTTCTCCGTAACATGCAGCACCTATCATTTGCCTTAGTAAGCAGGGACTATGGTTTACCTAGGTATGCAGCATACCTTTTATGTACAAATGTGTCTAAGAAACAAACACGCCGTATACACAGGACAGACCATTTCATAAATGGGGTGAGAAAGGGTGGTGGAATTGTTTTTAGAAAAGCTAGCCTATTTTATCGGTCACTGCTCAGTATTTGGACATTTTTTTTCAGAACTAACCAGCGATTTCTTTTGTTATTAAAACATTAGGTAACATAAAAATATTTTCGTAATTTTTTTCAGGAACATCTTTTTTTTTAAATTACAGGTCCCCATCCCTGGTTATCAAATGGTCGGTCCCGAATGGTTAAGGTCTATTGGCTATGTGGTGGGAAACCCTCCTTCACACAGATCGCGCGGAGGACGGCCTGAACGGCTTTGCAACAGAGTCAACTAATGATAATTTCTCTATGTGTTTCATCGTCATATTCTGCCAGATCTGGTACATCGTTCTCAGTTTGTGAACGTGGAAAAACACAAGACTGTTTTCTTTATCGTTGTTAAACTTGTCCACAACAACTCCAGGATTCAGAATATACGCTTGGTTGTACCGCCGATGCGTGAGGTTCAGCCTCTGAATCAACATACCCGTAATGTAATAATCATCTACCCAGAAAAACGGGGTTGTCATTGACGCCCTGTACATTCCGCCCACAACGTCTGCGCTCATCAAGTACGCAGAACCGGAACAATATGGCGGAAAGTAATCATCCGGGAAATCCTCTTTCGGAATGTACCACTTGGACCTCTTGTCCCTCATGACTTTCATGCGAATCCACTGATTACACACAATCAACCTTTTAGTCCCGTAGGTCTTTTGTACAGTGGAATTTAGAAAGTCTAGAAATGTGTGGAAATTGACAAGAATGTCGTCATCAGTTTTGAGAACAAACTTAGCATTGGAACAGTAGGATGAGACCCACTTTATGCCTGCGATGGCTTTGTGGGTAAGGTTCCGGTAGCTGTCAACAAATTTCTCTTGCACGATGTCTCCGTACCTGTTGGCCTCCATGTCCACCATGTTCATCACGTGGGCCTCAGGAACGGTCCCCATTATGAATACAACTCTGACATTATGACGCTTGAGAAACACGTGGTGTCCCCACGTTTCCCGTATCGTCTGCCTCTTTTTGAAATTGGCGGGAGCTGAGTGAACGTACGTCACAAGGAACACCTCCTGTCCTGCGCACTGCGTCACTGGATTGATGCGATATTCGAACGAATGAGGATTCGCAGATTTATGCTGATGGTCGTTTGGGTTGTCGCTTTCTATTGCCGTGGTGGCCCGGGCAGTGTGCTTGGGAAGTGACGTCATGATGTCTTCCCGACGAATAGGTTCGACGTCATAGACCTCCACAGGAAGTATAATCTCTTCGGAAGTGACGTCACTGTTTGTCCCGAGTTGGAAGATCATGATGGCGGAGATGAGGACGAGGACTAGAAGGGTAGCATACCTAAACACAGTGGATAACCGAGGAAACATTCTCTCGGGAGCGTCATCGGGGACGGCAGGTTCTTCACCGGGGTCACGCGCAGCCTCGCTCTCACCCTATGTCATCCAACATGGCGTTCACACAACCTTTCGTCGAAGGGAGGTAACTCTCAACACAGTTGGCCTCTCATTTCTTCACCGACTAATCTGAAAGTAAACAAAGGGTTATCATGTTATCTAATTCTGTCACTGAAATTAATGCCAACAAGAACGGGATACTAGACGCGGATGCATGTGACCGATCTCACTTCCTAGTTCACAGTCACATATCTCTCCATTACCATACTGATTCATAGTGTCATACATGTCTGCGTTTGCATCTGACAATCAACCAATGCATATGCTTCCTTGTATTGAAGGGCGGTCGGGTTGCCTAGTGGTTAAAACGTTCTATCATCACGCCGAAGACCCGGGTTCGCTTCCCCAGATAGTTACAAGGTGTGAAGCCCATTTCTGGTGTCCCCCGCCGTGATATTGCTGGAATATTGCTAAAAGCGGCGTAAAACCATACTCACTCACTCCCTCCTTGTACTGATACTTAAAAGTCAAGTTGAACTCACTGAAAGATTCAAAGTGGATTCAGTTACCACTTCCTCATATCATTGCTATCTGCGTCAATTATTTGTTCACAATTCTGTCTGAGTGATCTTTCGTCTTATTATTTTAAACTCATTTTTAAGTTTAAACCAGGAAATATTCACCACAGGATGAGGCGAGGATTTAATTGACCAAAAGTGGAAAAAGATAATTTGTTCAGGTTTAAAAATTAACAAAATGTTTGTAAGGCTGGGACAGGTACTCGGGTACTCGGGTCGGATGGGACCTGAGTAGGACCCGGGTACCCACAGGACTACCCGGACCCGTGGTTAGTCTAGTGATATATTCTTTATTGACAAAAACTCTATGGTTACACTATATGTCACTAATGTTCCCATTTCTTTCTGACAATGCACCCACTCCTTCTGACTTTCATATGTTTGAATAAAGATGAAGCTTCATGCAGTAAACTTCAGTGTATGCATGACCAGATCGTTTTCCACGTGTGTCTAAATACATTTTGCCAGGGCTGAGGTCAAACTTTTCCAAATCGGACAGTTTGTACCTATCTCTAAATATCTACAGCGGGTACCCGGGTAGGGTCGGGTAATAAGGTGGTGGGTACCCGGGTAGTAAATTTGAACCCGTCCCAGCCCTAAATGTTTCATGGGCATGCTTGATGCTGTGGTTAAGAGTTAAATTGCGCGTCTCCTTTTTTCACAGAAAATATGCGTGTTTTGATTTCGCCAATACATCTCTAGTGTAGGAGGAAACACCGTAGTTATCAAGGTCTCAGACGTTTACACGTGGTGCTGATGATGACGAACCAGCATTCGAACCAACACTTACGGGTTTCTGGCGTGCTCAAGGGAAGCAACTCTGCACAGCGAATTGCGGCGCCTGGGCCACCCGAGTCCCAAGTTGGATTGAAGTCGCAACAATTAAAGTACAGTAAAATACGGTTATAACGAACACGCCTTTAACAAACTGACGGATATAACGAACTTACTTTTTGGTCCCGACTATTTGCTGTAGATATGCTGTACATATGCTTATAACGAACTACGGTTATAACGAACTAAAATTAGTAGTCCCCTTGAGTTCGTTATAACCGTACTTTACTGTATTCTGACTTGGAATAAGAATACTTGGTACCTGGGTTACAATAGGCCCACAGCTCCCAGCTATTGCTTTTCAGAACAGGACACTAAGTTGTATCGGGTGTACGGCATAGTACTCGACGACGCGTGGAATTGGTGAGGATTTCTCAGGATTGACTGAAAACGGGCTAGGAAAGGTCCTTGGACGTCTAGAATTTGATTTTTTGCCTGAGTGCTAGTGTTTTAGCGACATTTATCGATTTAATTTCAGTACATACTCATCTCGTCCGGACACCCCATCGAAGAGTCAATAGTTATACTAAAGCAGTACGGGGCGGTGGGGTAGCCTCGTGGTTAAAGCGTTAGCTCGTCATGCCGAAGACACGGGTTCGCTTCCCCAGATAGTTACAAGGTGTGAAGCCCATTTCTGGTGTCCCCCGCCGTGATATTGCTTGAATATTGCTAAAAGCGCAGTAAAACAATAGCCACACACTCACTAAAGTAAAAGCAGAAAATTATACGGGACGATTTCACTCATATTGGTTTCAATATATATGTTTAGTTCTAGGTAGGAAACGTACGCATAGCTTCGAAACAAAAGAAGTTCGACACAACCAGTGTACTTTTTCATTTGTTGTGTCACCACCATCTCTGTACCGTGGTGCAGAAAACCCGACATTTCGTAGGCTGACATTTACTCCCAGAAATAAAGTTCTTTTATTAAAAAAATATATATCCACAAAATACAAAATAAATAAACTCCAAATGGAGCCCAGAACAATCCTTAATTCCTGGAGCAATCTGGACTTTCCAAATAATTCTAGACTTGAGTTGGACTCCTTTTTTTAATTTATTCTATAGAGCCAAGGAGACACCCGGCAGTCTCCATGGGCGAAAGGCTGTGTGAAGAGGTGGCTGTTTATAGACACGCTAACCTGTACTCAAACAACTATCAAAATAACGTTATTTCAAAGTAAATAATCGTCGTGATAAACATTCCACGCCGAATTCTTCAGGTAGACGCAAATGTCAGCATCTACACGGCAATGTTTATTTATGACGAAAAAGTCAACGAATTGAATAACTAATTGCGAGTCACATGCCTTCCATTTTAACGAGAGATTGCTTAAGATAATGAAATTGTACGTATATCGCAATAAGTTGTCTCTGTTATCCCATATGTCATTTCTGTTTATCCATATGTTATTTGTTATCCTACATGTTATCTCTTATCCCATATGTTATCAGTTCCGTGAAGATCCGGAGTAGTATAGGTCTTCAGCAACCCATGCTTGCCGTAAAAGGCGACTTTGCTTGTCGTAAGAGGCGACTAACGGGATCGCGTGGTCAGGCTCGCTGACTTGGTTGATGCATGTCATCGATCCCACTTTGCGTGGATCGATGCTCATGATATTAATCACTGGATTGTCCTGTCCATACTCGATTATTTACAGACCGCCGTTGTTATCCCACATGTAATCCCTGTTATCCGCTATGTTATCTGGTTATAGTGAGTGAGTATGGTTTTTCGCCGCTTTTATTAATATTCCAGCAATATCACGGCGGGGGACACCAGAAATGGGTTTCACACATTGTACCCATGTCGGGAATCGAACCCGGGTCTTCGGCGTGACGAGCGAACGCTTTAACCACTAGGCTACCCGACCGCCCCTTATCTGGTTATAGATGATATGCGAAGATAATATATTTTCTGCATCTTTAAAAGCCAAGGGTCCCACATTTATCCACTTGTAAAAATGTGAACGTGAGGGTAAACATGTCCTACCCTTTCGGTAGTAGTCGCCAAACACACGCACGCACGCACGCACGCACACACACACACACACACTAACACACACTAACACACACACACACTAATCACACACGCACGCACGCACGCACGCACGCACGCACATACACACAATTTGCATATAAAAGTCAGTGTTTATTACGAGCTCCTGTCATGCGACAGCGACACGTAAACAAACCAGACAATCAAGTGATCAGTCCCAATGATTCTTAAATATACACACGTATATGGTAAAGGACTTATGTCATGGAACAGCAATCATAATAAGACATGAAACTTCTAAATGCCTATCAAAGACTTGATAAAACCTATCCGTTCTGTAATATTTCCAAGATGGTAATATCAACCCGATTAAGACCCTTGGTGTCCGGTGTGTAGGAATCACTCCACTATGGAACACTACAGGGGACATGCTCGTAGGCTTATTTTGGTGGTAAATACTGTCACGAATGAATGAAATATTGGCTCGCTATTGATTTCGGCTTTTAAAGGTGACAAAAGATCATTCTCATTTATAAAATTAAATTTCATGTGGGAGTTTCCAATTATTTATGGAACAGTGCGCATGCCACTTTTATCCTAAATGGGTTGAGGCGTGGAATGTTGCAATATATACAACGTTGGCCTTTTGGAAATTGCTAAAATAGTGTTAAAAGTCAAACTCCAATCCCTCACTCGCACAGGCAAGGTATATAGAGAGGGGTTCAAAACCAAAGCATCACCCACCTGTATTTACATAGATAACTCACCCACCTGTATTTACATAGATAACTCACCCACCTGTATTTACATAGATAACTCACCCACCTGTATTTACATAGGTAACTCACCCACCTGTATTTACATAGATAACTCACCCACCTGTATTTACATAGATAACTCACCCACCTGTATTTACATAGATAACTCACCCACCTGTATTTACATAGATAACTCACCCACCTGTATTTACACAGATAACTCACCCACCTGTATTTACATAAATAACTCACCCACCTGTATTTACATAGATAACTCACCCACCTGTATTTACATAGATAACTCACCGCACTGTATTTACACAGATAACTCACCCACCTGTATTTACATAAATAACTCACCCACCTGTATTTACATAGATAACTCACCGCACTGTATTTACACAGATAACTCACCCACCTGTATTTACATTGGTAACTCACCCACCTGTATTTACATAGATAACTCACCCACCTGTATTTACATTGGTAACTCACCCACCTGTATTTACATAGATAACTCACCCACCTGTATTTACATAGATAACTCACCCACCTTCATTCACATAGACAATTCACTACATGTATTGACAAAGCTGATGTTAGCCACATATATTCACTTAAAATGATCTCATCCGTAAATATTAACGCAAAACTAATCCAATCCACCAGTATTTACATATTTAATCTCACACACCTGTTAGATAATCCAACCGGCTGTCAGCTCGTCACCATTCAGTGATGCCCGTACTAATCCATACCCCTACATACACTACACCAGTTTAACAACCGACACATCCCAACCCAAAGACAACCACTACAATATTGATCTCACTGAGGGCTGAAGCATCGCTATGCCCTTTCCAATGTATTTGATCTACTTTTTGTAACTCAAAACCATTTTAATGTTTGCAAGGGAAAGCTTTCCCACGTTATTTGGTTCGGCTAGAGACCTCCTTGCAC